AACGGGGAGAAGGTGGGAAATATGTCAAGACAAAAACAAGAAACAAAATCAATGCCAAAACGTCACTATAACGTATCTCCGAATCTATTGGTCCGATTGCAACATATGAGGTATCAAACGAAAGAGGAGGGGGTAACAAAGATGTCAAGATGAAAACACGAAACAAAATCAATGCCAAAACGATACTATAACGTATCTCCGGGTCTATTGGTCCCATTGCAATTTATGAGGCGTCAAATGAAAGAGGAGGGGGAAACGAATACATGGAGATGAAACACAAGCAATAAAAACATCATAAAAATGACATTACATCATATCTCATTGTCTATTGGCCCGACTACTGCGTATGAGGCATCAAATCAATATAACGTACAGCAGAGGCTATCGCCGGAAATAAAACGAATAGGAACGTTTACCATTCATACACTATGACCAAACCAACATTCATCCACTATATAATCTTCACAGTAATGCATACAGATATCTAACGCGATCGAATTTATAGCAGACGTATACCTAACGCTATCTAACGCATATGAGACGTATAGCAAACGCGTTCTAACTCATATCAGACATATAGCAGATGCATATCAGACGTACATTAGACGCATAGCAGACGTATAGAAGAAGCAATCTTACTTATATCAGACATACAACAGCCGCGATCTAACACATATCAGACGTATAGCACCCGTATACTACACTCAAGATGGGACAGAACAATCGTTAAAGAAAATGGGTAAGAAAAACAAAATGTTGTCAGAGTAACAAATGAAAGAATCGTAAGAAATTATATGCGTTAAACATAGAATAACGAAGGATATCGCAACTACGCTGGTATGGACACGTCCACAGAATATGCGACAACAGAATAACAAAAAAGTATTATATTGACCACCATAGGAAAGACGAAGGAAATGCAGGTCAGCAACTACTAAACATAAATATATAAATCTGGGTAGTCATTACAAGTATCCTCCGAACTGTAATTACTGGAGACAACTCACAAATATGACTATTGATATGCGGTATCGATTTGTTGCATATTATATTTTATCTACATCATTTTTACAAAGATATTTAGATATATGAGAATTAATGAATGAATGAATGTTCACCATCCATACATTATGTTCAAACAGCTAACGTTTATTACTTGACATAGATATGAGTTGGATGATTACAAACCGACAAGGACCTAAATGTTCTCTACAAGCAACATTTGAATGAGCACTACTATACACAAGTCTCCATTGAACGTACCATTCGACAAGGTCTCAGCTAAGCGCTTACTAATATACATACAGACCTCATCTAAACGTACAATTAGCCAAAAGTCTTATCTAAACATCCACTACTATCCATAAACATCCAATATGACTATTTTTTTTTTGGATTTTTGCATACTATATTTTGTCTACAACAATTTTACAAATATATTCAAATATAATTGAATGAACGATTGTTTACCATCACTAAATTATGTTCAAACTAACTAACGCATATTACTAGACATAGATATGAGTTGTTATTTATCCGATTGACGTACTAACCGTTAAATGAAAGCAAAGGGGAAAGCGTAAATATTTGTATACTATATTTTATCTACGACGAGCAAGTAATTTATTGTTTTAAAGTCGATAATGAACAATGGTCTCTGTAAGAATATATATTGGTCATAGACGGTTCTTCGATAGCCATCAGGCAACAATTTCCCCTGAACATGTTTCTAAAACATACGGAATGCACTGTATATACCTAACCCTAGTTGACAACTCCCTTCGTGAAGGTACACAGGCGTGACCATCAAATATTCAACGTTGAGACATTTCAGCTATAATGGCAAAGAAAAATCAAATTAATTACATTTTTGGAGTATATATAGTTATAGAGTGTATATAGTTTTAGAGTATATACTTTGGATGTGAAAATTGATACTAAATATATTATTTAATGTGAAAGAAAAACTTAGCCATTGAGTAAAGACATGACTACCACAATACGCTACGGTAACTCTAATACAAAGATGCTGTAGATGAAATGAGAGAAGAAAATGTATAAAATCTCTGATATAGAAACACGTAAGGCAGATATGATGTACATAAAATGATAGAAAATGTGTAAAAATATATTCATACATAGAAACATGTAAGGCAGAAAGCATGGACAATAATGATGGAAAATGCATAAAATATCTGACATAGAAACACGTAAGATAGAAAGTATGGACAATAATGACAGAAAATGTGTAAAAATATCTAACATATAAGCATGTAAGGCAGAAAGCATGGACTAGTAGTAGAATAGTAATGGTGAAATGAACAGTGACAAGTGTAGAAGTGTCTGGGGGCTCGGGAGACTGAGACCTCGGAAGTCCTGAAGATGGCATTAGAAAGGATGTCGAAAGCTCTGTCCAATGGATATGGACGCGGTTGAACCCGGAAGACTGGTGAGTTTAATATATATATATATATATATATATATATATATATATATATATATATATATATATATATATATATATATATTATATATATATATATGTATATAATATATATCATATTAATATTATTAATAATTAATAATTAATTATTAATAATAATAAATTAATAATTAATATTAATATTAAATTAATCATATAATATATATATATTATATATATATATATATATATATATATATATATATATATATATAGGGTGTTTCAAAAAAAGGTAACCCCGTCTCTAGGGTAGACAAAAAACTGAAAAATAATGGGATTTGCTTAGTAAAAAATTTTTGTAACGCCATCCGTTTTCAAGATACAGCTCGTTGAAGAAAAAAAAATTTACGTATTTTTTACGATTTTGCCAAAACTACTGGCAACATTGTAATGAAATTTTATATGAATATGTTTTGGAAGCTGATACATCCCATGAATTTGCTTTTATATCTGATTCTCATAGAGGGCGCTAGTTACACGGATAGTACTAAATATTAGTCAATATAACTTTTTTAAGAGTATAATTATTAATTAAAATTTCAAGTAAACTTAAACATCATTCAATTTTACACGAAAAAGGTAGTCTTGGTAAAACTCGATGTGTAACGTTTTCGGAATATTTTGATTTGAAAATTCTGAAGTAATAATTGATTGTGGTAGTAATGATAAAGTTCTAATAGGTATACCTCTATTTTTTCCAAGCGTGCCATGGAAATCTGACATTTATTGATTGTTATGACGATAAATCAACAATAATTAGTGTCTTGAAACCTTGTTATTTGTAAAATCAAATCAAAATGTACTCAAATGTTTAATACACTGACATGTTATGAACCTTAGGCGAATGTTTAGGATGTTCTAGTACAGCTGTGACACGTTATGCAGAAAAGTTTCCTAGAAGAAACTTACCAAGTAAAAAAAACATTTAGAGCCGTTGAACGACGTTGTCGAGAAACTGGAAATGTGAGAACAAATAAAATAAATTCTGGTAGACTAAGAACAACAAGAACAATTAATAAAGAAAATACTATCTTAAATTTACTTGATCAAGATCCAACAGTTAGCGTAGGGAATATAGCAAGACAAACAAATACTTCTTCTTCAAGTACTTTTTGGATACTGAAAGAATAGCAATTACATCTTTATCATTACAGACAAGTCCAAGAGCTCTTGCCAGATGATCTACCGGTTAGAGTGGATTTTTGTGAAACATTGCAACAAAGTACAGCCCACAATCCAAATTTTTTTAAATGCATTCTTTTTACGGACGAGGCCACCTTTACGCGACAAGGTATGTTTAACTCCCATAATGCACACTACTGGTGTGATGAGAATCCACGAGTCAAAAGGGTACCACATTACCAACATTCATTTAAAGTTAATGTTTGGGCAGCAACTTTAGGTAACAAATTAATAGGTTATTATATTCTACCTGAAAATTTAAATGGTAATATGTATCTTGATTTTTTAAACAATTCCTTATTCGAAATATTAGAAGATATAACGCTAAACGAGCGAAGATCTTTATTTTTTATTCACGATGAAGCTCCACCACACTTTGATAGAAGGTGTTGTAATTGGTTGAGTAATCATTTTCCGAATCGATGGATTGGTAGAGGTGCAGAAGCTTCGATTCATTGGCCTCCTCGGTCATGCGATTTTAACCCTTTGGACTACGCAGTTTGGTCGTATATTAAGGAAAAAGTCTATGCTACAAAGGTAAATTCACGCCAAGAATTGAAAGAAAGAATTCAACGTCAATTTAATGACATCATAGCTGATCCCCTACCGTTTAGAAGGTTAATGGAATCTTTAGAAAAAAAAGAATAGACTTCGTATTCGCGAAAACCGAGGGCATTTTGAACACTTAGTGTAATTGAATTTTATTATGTTCTTAGTCATTAATTTAATTTTCTTCTTGTGAGTTTTGTTTAATTACTAACTATTTTATACCAGCATCAATTATTACTTCATAATTTTCAAATCAAAATATTCCGAAAACGGTACACAGTATCGAGTTTTACCAAGAGTACCTGTTTCGTGTGAAATTGAATGATGTTTAAGTTTACTTTAAATTTTGATTAATAATTATACTCTTAAAAAAGTTATATTGACTAATACTTAGTACGATCCGTGTAACTAGCGCCCTCTATGAGAATCAGATATAAAAACAAATTCATGGGATGTATCAGCTTCCAAAACATATTCGTATAAAATTTCATTACAAAGTTGCCAGTAGTTTTGGCAAAATCGTAAAAAATGCGTAAATATTTTTTTCTTTAACGCCCTGTGTATTGAAAACGGATGGCGTTACAAAAATTTTTTACTAAACAAACCCCAATTATTTTTCAGTTTTTTACCTACCCTAGAGACGGGGTTACCTTTTTTTGAAACGCCATGTATATAATATTGTTGTTGTTTGTTTGTTTAAATGACTGCGGACTCTCAATCCATTCGCCAATCTTACAATTTGAGGTGTAGTGTGTAATATTTGTTTATTTCATTAATACATACTTACAAAATGATAAGTCGTAATCGGCAGTGACAGTTTGAAGAAAATTACTATCTGAACTCCAGTCAAGTTGCATCAGTGGTTGAGCTCCTCTTATTTTATTTGATTTTTTATAAGAATATCCATCTCTGCTTACCCTAAATAAGTAAATACTTCCGTTTTGTGAGGCTATTGCTATCAAATCTCCAGCTAAAATATGTCATATAAGTCCAAACTTTGTACACATTATATTGAATTATAATTTTGTTGCAAATAAAGTGAAATATAGTACCGCTAGTTGCAAATAAACTTACTTGGGTTGTATCCTACACAGTTCAAAGGAGAACCACAAACTCGAATCGTGTTAACCACAATTCCAGTTTCCGAGTTTATTATCAATAAATGTCCTTCAGTACTTCCAACTGCTAGTGCAACACCAAATGGATGGAAGCATAGGGATATACATTCAAAGGATACCTGAAAAGTAAATATTCAATGAAAATAATAACATCTAGAAATAGCCAGCAGGGAAAAGAGGTCGAATATCACGAGATAACACAAGGCAGTTCTATTTTAACTACAGGACGCACAATCATCGTCTCCTGATTTCAGAGCAGTTTACTTAAAAAAAAAGCATCTAAATGGACCAGGTCGACGGTCCTTTATGAAAATACAGTCTCTTCAGGTGAACGACCTTTGGCTTAGTCCGTGGCGTCAGTTTTACCCTAAATACAAGATCGTTTATGTTATTAGTGACAAGGTACGGTCCCCCCTAGAGCCGCTGCAACTTTTGCTCAGATTTTTTCTTTTTGTTGGTTGGTCGAGCGAGACCGCATAAACTTCTTTTAAGCTAACGGGAGTAGCGATACTCGAAACGTGTCTCTTGGTCCGCCTCTCCATCTCGTAGATTGCCATGTAAGAAGTCGACGAGAAGCTTACTCTCGACCAGTTAATAGTATTACAGGAGTGTAATCAGTTGCTTCTTGTTGATAGCTTCGGTAGGCTAGCAGAAACAGAGATCCTAGTTTGTTCCAGTCTCTCTGGTTTTTATGTACACATAAGTAACAGATAGTTATTGATGGTCCGGTTATGTCTTTCCACCATGACATCGAACTAAAAATGAAGTGGTGTTGTTGTGGTCGTCTTCAACAAAGCCATCATGATCCTACAAACCGATTTGAAGATGCGCCGCTGATCGGAATGAAGCAGAAGTGGCACTACATGTCAGGAAACGACATTATCAAGCAGCGCCTTACCAACTATTATTGCATCTTGCTTGGGTAGTGTAACTACTTCTAGTCATTTGGAGCACTAGTCCATAGCAACCATTAAATACTTATTTTCTGATGTTGTTACTAAAAATGGTCCCAGAATATGCTCCTTACACATGCTCCCATGCTCTTTACACATGTACTTGGGAGCACAACTTAGTGATACCGTCATTTCGCAGATACAAAGAATTTCACTGAAAACAATGGCCCTTCACAGCTTGCCCATATTTGCAAATCTCCTGCCACTGTGGCTTAGCTTTATTGTCCAGCCACTTCAGACTATTTTTAGATCTGGATCTTTCTTTTGATCAGTCTGGAAGTTTTATTTAGTTAGAGCTTCTTCATTACTTCCAACTGTATTTCCAACTGTAGAATTTGGCCTTTTCGTTTTTCTTAGCGCTCGCAAAATCGGCAGTTTGTCTCTTTGCATGATCTCCTCGAGAGGCCGTCGGCATTTCCATGACTTCTTTGGGCTCAGTGGTGAATTTTAAAATCATATGTCTGTAGTGTCTGCAGCTATCGAGCTATTTGGCATTGGAAGGCGTCTTGAAATTGAGAAGTTATAGAAGGAGAGAAATCTTCTGCTATAGAGGAACGAATGAAAGTTTATTTATCGTATGGCTTACAATAAGAACACATAATTAAAAATCGATATAAAACGTTACATGAAGTATTACAAACGAACATCTAATGTATTATTAATATAATGTAAAACATTTTCGCTCGCATTCAGGAACTCATCGAAAACTCCAGGGAATCGCCTTCGGGGACATTCTTCAACAATGTGACGGACGGTCTGTCGTTGCGCACTACAGTCACACTTAGGAGTAAGAGCTTTTCCCCATCTATATAAGCTGTCAGCACATCTACCGCTGCTTGTTCTTATTCTGTTTAGCGTTGTCCATGTATTGCGGGTCAGTTCAAAGCCTGGCGGTTTTTGATCAATACAGGGCATTTGATGTACTTCCTGTGGTGAGTCGCTCTCCCATTGTCTTCTTCAAGCCTTGGTCAGGTTGAAATGTTCCCGATGTAAGGAGTTGGCTCTTAGTAATGGAGGATATCTGGAGCGCGGTCTGTTTATTTCAATATCAAGCTTATCTTGGTGAATGGGTAGTTGATGAATAGCCTCAATTTTTCGATATTCTCTGAGAAGAGAATGACTTTTTCGCAGTTTCAGCGGTGGAATGTGACTCAGAATGGGAAGCGAATAGTTCGGTGTGGGTCTAATTGTACCTGAGATCATTCGCATTGTCTGGTTTAATTGGGTGTCAATAATCTTCGTGTGTTTGCTATTGAGCCATACCAGGGAAGCATATTCAGCCACCGGGTATACAAGTCCGAGAGCGGATGATCTGAGTACGGAGGCTGAGGAGCCCCATGTAGTGCCACATAGCTTTTGGACTATATTATTTCTCGTTTTCAGTTTTGCTGTCGTTCTTTAAAGATGTTCTTTAAAACTCAATGTTCTGTCCAGTGTCACTCCAAGATATTTTGGTGTTCCTCCAAGTGGACGAAGAGTTTTTTGTTGGCTTGGGCATTATTCAGATGGAAACAGCACACTTCGGTTTTCGTTGCATTGGGCCGTAGCCTCCATTTGCGAAAGTATTCTCCCATAATGGCAAGGTCATCCGCTAATATTCTTTCTGTGATATCCATGTTATTACGTCTTCCTGCAATGGCCCAATCGTCAGCGTAGCCAAATTTCTGCGAAGTTGTCCTAGGTAGTTCCGCGATGTATAAATTGAATAGTAAGGGTGGTAAGTATACGAATGGAAGTGTTTTACTGCTTTGACGACCGCCAATAACTCCTTTCTAGTGGTATAGTAGTTTCTTTCTGCTTTTGCCCAAGTATTGCTGAAGTATTCTACAACATGTTTCTAACCTTCCTGCACTTAGGAAAGCACCGACTCGATGCCATTTTGAGAATCATCCGCATCAAGCACGAGAAGACCAGTGGAGCCTCTGTCAATTTATGCTTGAGTATCTTGTGTTTCACTTCTATTTGCTGTTATTGACCCATAATTTTTATCTTGATTTCTCTCTTGATCTTTTGAACTCTTATCTTGACTTCATTTCATTTATAAGTACCTATTTTGAGTTATAGGCGTTTAATATAATAACCAATGCAATGTTAAAACAGCTAACTATGAATTATATCTTCAAGTAAATCGATAGAATAAATGCTGCTTTTTGCCTAACCTAACCTAACTCATCTCCTACAAATCAATCTTACTGCTTTCTGTTATGTATAAATTATTTGAAAACTGATTTACTCGAAGACCTAAGCCTGTTATAGACAGGATAAATGTTTTACCATTATAACAGTTTAGATTACAAGAACATTATTCTATTGATCAAGTAAATAGATTAGTTGGTGTTATAAATAAATAAAATGGAGTATAAAAAGTATGCTCCATTATTTTTGTCTTGATATATTTCCTTTGCAGGATATGACATGATACAAAGTTAAAATCACATTTACTGAAACAATACACTTGTATTTTGGAATTATAGTAATTAAGCAGATTTTTTAAAATTAAACAAAAGACCAATATTCTATAATACACAAAATTAAAACAGGTGTACCACAGGGAAGTGTACTTGGTTCGATCCGTAAGTTGGCACATTTGTGATTTATACTAAATAGAAGATTCTAAAATTGCCACGTTCATTGATAATATTACTTTATTGACAGACGACAACAGAAATAACAGGTTGACGGAAAAAATACAGGCAGTCATTAAACAAGTTACAGCTTGGACCAATAAAGCTTAATAAATCTAAGCCTATAAACTTTATGAATAAAAATGTTTGACAAATTTCGCTATATATTAACAACGAAGGTGTGCTGTAGGCAAATCAAGTGAAATAATTTGGCGCTAGTCTGGACACACAGCTTCGTTGGAAAGCATTATGTAAAATAGAAGAACTTGGCCTTAAATATAAAAAGTTGTAATGGATTATTGAAAGAAATTCTATTTTGTTTACATTATAAACACAAAAGAAGCCAATGTGGACTTATGACGTACAGGACTTATGACGTACTCCTTGGTTTAGTAGCAATAGAGACATTTATAGGGAACTTACGTCAGCTAAGTAAGGCAGTAACTCTAAGGGCAACTCTTCTTAAGTAAAACAGAAAAAAATCACGAAACTTAACAAAACCTATTTCATTATTTCACATTATTTAAAAAAAGTATAATTATATTATGTAGGGTTAATCATCTTACAGACATCTTACAGAAACTTAATAAATACGAAATTTTATATAATATAGGCGACTTCAATGCAAAAATTGGGGAAGGTCGATGAGGTCAGACTGTAGGTCCTTATGGTTTAGGACAACCTAATGATCGAGGACAGAGATTGTATGAATTTTGTAAAGAAAACGATATGATCATTGCAAACACCTGGTATAAACTACCCAAGCGACGACTATACACTTGGGAAACGCCATTTGATGATGGCAATAACCCTGAGTCTTTAAGAAATCCAATAGACTATATACTTGTAAATGAGCGTTTCCGAAATGTCGTCAAAAAAGTCACTACATATCCTGGGGCAGATATTAGATCCGATCATCAACCAGTCGTAGCAGATATTAAATTACGGTTAAAACGAATTCAGCGACAAAAACCAAAAACCAGTGAACTTATACGATACTTATACGATATAAACATACAAACTTTGACGATACAAACATAAAACATAACATTAAAAAGGAATTTAACAATAGAATAAAAAAACATCGGAGAACAATTAGAAGATCCATAAGAACTATGGAATGAATTTAAAAACAAAGTTAACGAAATCTTCACAAACAATGGTTATAGAAAAAACTTAATCAAGAAAAATAAGTGGATGACAGACGACATCTTGAAATTAATGGTACAACGTCGACTGATAAAATCTAATGTAACAGAATATAGACATCTGCAGAGAAGAATAAACAAGGAGATCTAATTAGCCAAAGAAAAATGGATGAGAGAAAGGTGCGACGAAATGAAGGATGTAATTTATAAACACAACTTAGTTAATGTGCACAAAAAACTAAAAGAAATGAGTAACATATTTAAAAAACGAGTTCCTTCTGTACTCGTTAACAATAATATCAAAATTATTGTAAATGAGCACGAAATAAGAAAAGAATGGCAGCTGTATATATCAGAGTTGATTGAAGATGACAGGAATAATATTGCCGAATTCTACCAAAACTGTACTGACGGTCCAGAAATTATGAAATACGAGGTAGAACACGCTATAAATAATGCTAAAACAACTGAGTTGCTGAAACTAATAGAGAATGATAACATAAAAGTAGTAGTAAAAACACAATGCGAGAAAATGCTCAGAATATCGATTAATTAGACTAATGAGCCACACTCTTAAAATTTTCCTCAGAATACTTTACCACAGAATTAGACACAAATGCGAAGAAGATCTTGAAGATACCCAATTTGTTGACACTATTTCGAAAAACTTGCGTTCGCTAGAATCTCTTCAGCAACCTGTCCATTCTTGAGGGACTGTTAATATTCATGATAGCAAGCAAGTTAGATGCCCTTACTGTGAGGGAATGGGAATCATATAGAACTGTACTGACGGTCCAGAAATTATGAAATACGAGGTAGAACACGCTATAAATAATGCTAAAACAACTGAGTTGCTGAAACTAATAGAGAATGATAACATAAAAGTAGTAGTAAAAACACAATGCGAGAAAATGCTCAGAATATCGATTAATTAGCCTATTGAGCCACACTCAAATTTACCTCAGAATACTTCACCACAGAATTAGACGCAAATGCGAAGAAGATCTTGAAGATACCCAATTTGTTGACACTATTTCGAAAAACTTGCGTTCGCTAGAATCTCTTCAGCAACCTGTCCATTCTTGAGAGACTGTTAATATTCATGATAGCAAGCAAGTTAGATGCCCTTACTGTGAGGGAATGGGAATCATATAGATCCGGAGGTGATCTTCCTATCTTTGAAGATATGATCGCATTCTTGAAATGCAAATCTGATCTTCTAGAGAAGCTAGAAGTATCCAAAGTTAAGTATAAATTGGAAAGGCCGTCTAAATTCCTAAGGCAGCCGCAATATTTTCTCTCGTTTAATAGAAAGGCATGTACGTTCTGCTAAGAAGATCAGAGCGAATCAAACATGCTAGTGATTCAAAACTTTGTACAAATTACCTTTATTCTGGTCATTTCAGCTCCAAGCAAATATGGAGCGTGTTAAAAAACGTAAAACAAAACACCATAGTTTGTTGCATTTAGATTAGTAATCCGTTCACACTTTCGATACTAATTAGCAGGTGGAGTCTGAACCTGAACACCAAGTGTCCCGTTCAGCTCATTAGAATGTAGCTCAATCAATTTTGTCTACAGCTATCGTTCAAATATTCGATAAAATCGAATTCGAAGATTTAGTCAAGGCAGTCTTCGTTTTCAACGCCCCTTTCATGTCTCGTAGTCAATAGAATCTGTGATAGTCTTCCAGCATATAGTTTCGACATAAGACAGTTACGACAAGAGAATGTAACATTACGAGAGGAAAACAGAAAACTAAAAAAGGTAGTTTTTCAAATAGAAGAACGGCTTAAAAGTTTGGAAAATGGAAAAAGGCGTAAAAATATAGTTATACAAGACATTAACATAGATACAAATGTCCCAGAGTCTCCAAAACATGAAATAAAAATTTTTATGCAGGTAGAATTAGCAGTCGATGTTCAAATAGAGAAGGTTGTGAAGCTGGGAGAAAAAGTCTTTCTGGTTGAGCTTGAAAAAGAAGAGGACAAAAGAAAAGTCATGCGAAACAAAAGCAAATTAAGAAACCGAAGAAAATGTCTAGTTTATATCAATAATGACCTGTCAAAGAAGGATAGAATTGTACAGAAATATGTCAGACAGAAAGCGCAAGAACTAAGACAGGAAGGGAGAAAAGTGAAAG